GTGCCAGCTGGGGACTCCTTTATTCTACTGGAGGACTTCCAATGCCCATGTGGGAAATGAAAATGTGATCTAGAGGGGCATGGCTGGGAGGAACGGCCTCTCTGATCTGAACCAGAGCAGTGTTCTGTTGTTGGACTTCTTTGCTAGTCATAGTTTTTTCATCACAAGCACCATATTTAAACACAAGGGTGTCCATAAGTGCACTTGGCACTAGGATGCCCTAGGTCGTAGATCAATGACTGATTTCATAGTCGTGTCATCTGATTTGCGGCCGTTTGTTTGGCACTCGGGTGAAGAGAGGAGCTGAGCTGTTAACTAATCACCATCTGGTAGGGAGTTGGATCAGATGGCGGAGGAAGATGCCAGACAGACCTGGTAGACCCAAATGTGTAGTGAGGGTTTGCTGGGAACACCTGGCAGAAGAACCCGTCAGAGAGATCTTCAACTCACACTTCCAAGAGAGTTTAAACTGCATCCCAGCTTAGATGGGGGACATTGAGTCCAAGTGGGCCATGTTCCGTGTCTCAATTGTTGAGGTAGCTGCCCTGAGCTGTGGCCGTAAGGTTGTCAGTGCTTCTCACGGTGGCCATCCACAAACTCGGTGGTGGACACCCCGGGTTAGGAAGGCTGTCAAGCTGAAGGAGGAGTCCAACTGGGCCATGTTAGCAGGTGGGAGTTTGGAGGCAGGAGTACCAGAGGGCCAAATGCTCCGACAGTCTTGGCTGTTGCTGAGGCAAAAGCTCGGATGTGGGAGGGGTTCGGTGAGGCCTTGGATAGAGACTCTTGGTTGGCTTCAAGGAGATCCTGGTAAACCATCAGGTGGCTGAGAAGGGGAAAGCAGCACTTTACTAACACTGTGTTCAGTGAAGGTGGGTTGCTGTTGACCTCAACCAATTATGTCATCAGGAGGTGAAAATAATAATTCTCAGACCTTCTAAATCCCACCAGCACGTCTTCCATGGAGGAAGCTGAGCCGGATGACTTTAGTGTCGGTCTGTCCATAACTGTGGTTGAGGTCACTGAGGTAGTTAAAAAGCTCTGTGGTGGCAGGGCTCTGGGAGTGGATGAGATTCACCCTGATTTCCTTAAGACTCTGGATGTTGTGGGGTTGTCTTTGTTGACATGCCTTTGCAATGATCTGTGGACATCGGGGGCAGTGCCACTATTGGATTGGCAGACTGGGGTGGTGGTTTCCCTCTTCAAAAAGGGGGACCGGAGTGTGTACTCCAATTATAGGGGCATCACTCTCCTTAGCCTCCCTGGTGAGGTCTATTCAGGGGTACTGGAGAAGTGAGTCCAACCGTTGGTCGAACCTCAGATCCAAGAGGAACAATGCAGGTTCCGTCCTGGCCATAGAACACTAGATCACCTCTTTACCCTCACTAGGGTTCTTGAGAGGTCATGGGAGTTTGCCCATCCAGTCTACATGTGTTTTGTGGACTTGGAGAAAGTATTTGACTGTGTTCCTCGGGGTACACTGTGGGGGGTGCTTTATGAGTATGGGATTGGGGGCCCATTGTTACGAGCTGTTCAGTCCCTATACAAGTGGTGCGAGTTTGGTTTGCATTGTCGGTAGTAAGTCGGACTCCTTCAGGGTGGGAGTTGGACTCTGCCAGGGCTGCCCGTTGTCACCAATTCTGTTCATAACTTTATGGACAGAATTTCTTGGTGCAGCCAGGAGACAGAGATTCCAGTTAGGTGGCCTCAGGATTCCATCTCTGCTCTTTGCAGATGATGTGGTCCTGTTGACGTCATCATGCCGTGAACTTCAGCTCTCACTGGAGTGGTTCGCATCAGAGTGTGAAGTGACTGGGATGAGAATCAGCACCTCCAAATCTGAGGCCATGGTCCTCTATCGGAAATGGGTGGATTGCTCTCTTCAGGTCGAAGGTGAGGTTCTGTCTCAAGTGGAGTAGTTCAAGTATCTCGGGGTTTTGTTCACAAGTGAGGGAAGAATGAAGTGTGAGATTGACAGATTGGTGCAGCATCTGCAGTATTGCGGACTCTGTACCGGTCCGTTGTGGTGAAGAGAGAACTGAGCTGTAAGGCAAAGCTCTCTGTTTATCGGTCGGTCTACGTTCCTACCCTCACCTATGGTCACAAGCTGTGAGTAGTGACAGAAAGAACGAGATTGCAGATACAGGCGATTGAAATGAGTTTCTTCCACAGGGTATCTGGACTCTCCTTTAGAGATAGGGTGAGAAGTTCAGTTATCCGGGAGAGACTCAGAGTAGAACCACTGCTCCTCCACATCAAGAGGAGCCAGTTGAGGTGGTTTGGGCATCTGGTAAGGATGCTCACATGGCGCCTCTCTTTGGAGGTGCTTCGAGCATTTTCAACTGGGAGGAGACACCGGGGAAGACCAAGGACACGCTGGAGAGACTATGTCTCTCGGTTGGCCTGGGAACGCCTTAGAATCCTCCCAGAATAGTTGGAAGAGGTGGCTGTGGAAAGAGATGTCTGGGCCTCCCTGCTCAAGCTGCTGCCCTCGTGACCCGACTTAGGAATAAGCGCAAGATAATGGATATATGGATATACACTAAGATATATGCTAAACAAATGCCAAACAGTACACCAAAAGACATAAGATATACACTTAACACTAATGTAAAACAACAATACAATACAATACATTAAATACAATACAATAAATGTGAATGCACGTTAGGAAGACTGTTTTTATGACCCGTGCATCACTTGTAAATCTACTGTGGGACTATGTATAGCAGGTCCCTGGTTCAAACCCCGGTCCAGGGGCCTTTCTGGGTGGAGTTTGTATGTTCTCTCCGTGCATGCGTGGGTTTTCTCCGGGTACTCCGGTTTCCTCCCACAGTCCAAAAACATGCATGTTAGGCTGATTGGTAACTAAATTGTCCCTAGGTGTGAGAGAGTGAATGGTTGTTTGTCTCGTTTGTCTCTATGTGGCCCTGTGATGGACTTGCGACCCGTCCAGGGTGTACCCCGCCCCTCGCACAGTGATTGCTGGACATGGGCACCAGCGACCCCCGTGACCCAAAATGGAGTAAGCGGGTAAAGAAAATGGATGGATGGATGGACTATGTATAGCGTGAATCTGATTAGCTTAACTTCATGGTTGTTAACAGCTGCGCTAAATGAACAAGCTCCACTCCACTCGCCGTTTTCTTAGTTTCTTGATGGTGGACAAAGTTTGTAAATTTTCAGTCATATCAGTTTTCGGCATTAGCCTTCCCCTCCCAATATCGGTATCGGTGATAGCCAAAATGTCCATATCGGTCAGGCTCTAATCCAAATATTCTGCATTTAACAGCTGGTTCTGCACAACACACTGATATGCCCACCACATCTTCTGCTTCACCAACATTTGTCTTGGCTTTACTGCGGCACTGTGAAAGGAGGGAAAGTGAGTGTAATGGTAGGTTGGTGAGACAGTGGGATAGCAGGGAATAAACGTACTGCAATAATACAATAGCATAGTGTGCTGGTTTTGCAATCCGTTTATCAGTGGTAATGCAATTTAGGAGAGCCTCTGAGTACTTGAAATTAATAATTTTAAAATAAAAATACTCCTCTGTAACAGGCTGCTTGGAACATCTGCACAAAGAAAGTGAAATAACTATATCATCTATTTTGCTTTCAGGCTCAGCTAAATATAGAAGTTGAGAACAACTCATAAACAAAGGGAGTGGGAATTTTCTATGCAGACCCTGATGTTGCTGCACCATTAGATCTGAACGTATAAATAGAGCAGACACAGTTTTTAATAATGTGTACAATATACCAAACCACTACTTTCATCATTATATCACTAGGTTGAATTTGCAATTTTCCCTCTTGCAGTGGTACAGGATATTACCAGTAGTTAAAAATCCTGAGATATGCATCTAATGTGGCTGTACAAATATAATAAAACCAAGGTGAAAACACTTGTACTGTACTTCAAGCACCTTGCATGTAACTAACATTCCTCTATCGTTTAACGAATGCAGTTTGTTTAATGTCCCTGTTTGCATATCCCTGCATCTGACAGGTTTCTCTCCCTCACAAACGATCTTGTGATTTAACGTGAGAAAGTGTCAGATGCTTCCAGAAGTTGGAGCTATAGTACGAATGCACAATACAAATGGTGACAAAGCACTAAAATATTCTGAACACTTGGGTGATGACCTTTTTTGTAGACCTTTCAGAATCAGACCTGTCTGCGTAAGAGGAAATGTCATTATCTCTTCATTTCTGTCAACTGCAAATATCTGAAACTATGCGAAACCCAAGGTAAACGGACTCAAGACAAAATAGAAACTAGACACATTTGCAATATATATTAAAAACCTGCTTAGTCTAAATATTTTGACGTTTTCATTTGGAGTCATTCAGATTAGCTTGGGGATTAAATCATGTTTTCTACTGAATATTACACCGTTCTCACCTTCACTTTAGTGGTTTCTGCAAATTTAGTCTCTGTTTTACTTTATTTATCTGCCAACCTCACACAATCACACCCCCGCATATTCATGACTGATTAAAAATAAAGTCTCATGGAACAGGCAGCCTGAATCAAAGAGCTTCCTTCTTCCTGCTGTCCTTGACTAAAACCTGCCACACGTTCCTTGAAGCAGCACATCAAAAATGGACATGCTAGAAAGTTCAGGCCGAAGCTGCTTTACACGAGCGACACATTAAGAGAAAACGTACATGCACGTGAATACACGCACCTGTCGTGATCATTTCTTTATGCTGTGACACAATGTAACAGTAATAAGCAAGACTGAGTGATGAGACTTGAATTATGACAAAGTAGTTCTTGTGCCTTTTTCCCCTCAAGCTGGAGACACTTTGACAAACCTTTAAACAAAACTTGTTTTTATGATTCAAAGCTCAAGGAAGCATTTCATTTTTTAATTGTTCTTATTAAGTCATATTTAATTTAATCGAGCTATTGCAGGTCATCACTAGGAAGCTAGTTACAAGAATGAGTGTGTGCTGCTGAGGATATCATCACCATGTTATTTCTCGCTCCTCACCATCTTTGCTGTCAACGGTCTTGACCACTAAATCCGTCTCGAAGGTGTCCTGCATCTGTTGCCCACGGAAATGGTTCAGGTGCTCCAGTTCAATGAGGTCACTCTCCTCTTCCTCTAAAGGGAGCCAGGTCCCATCAATGAACCACTGGCCTCTCATCACAGGGATATGGTCTTGTTCTGCAAAACACACAACTGATTCAGCTGCCCTTAAACAAACAATGAAAACACTAAACATTTTAAAGTTGTTGTGGGGTCTAAGGCAGGGGGGGTCCAGTCTTGGTCCTGAAGGGCCCGCATGTTTCAGAGGCTCCTCTGCTTCAGCACATTTGAATTGAATCAAAGGTGATTAACAAGCTTCTGCAGTACTTGGAGGCAGTTCGTGTTGGATCAGGGAAGACACAGGACAGTGTCCCTCTGGGACCAGGATTGAACACCCCTGGTCTAAAGACACA